ACTTCAAAGTGCTTTCTCCTTTCTTAAATTAGCTCCCGTGTTGAGTTCAGACACCACAAACAGCAATTGTGCATTGTCACACAAATAGAAGTGAAAGTTTTCGGCAATAAAGTTTGTGTGAAACTCATCTTCTCGTAGCCTCGGGTAATTGTGTACACATTTATGTAGATTTCCAGCATTATTGCCCCTTTGTAAACTCCCTGGCTGCTGGGCTGCTTTTACAGAACTCATATTTCAGGATGGATTTCTTTATCTGTCCATGTTTACTGCATGAGTTTACTGATCGGATTAAAGCTATTGCTTTGCCTCAAACATTGTGTGTCATCAGTATTTCGGAGGCCAGATGTTAAACACTGCAGGACCACTGGATCGCTTTAAAGTTTCTAAGTCTGATGCTTCTTCTTCATGTCGTAATCATTTAAAAAGAGAGTGAACAGAGATCTGTGTTCTGCTGCTGACGTCGGATCAACTGCTGATCATTGCAATATTGCTTTTGTCCCGTTTACAAGTTGATTTTGTAATCTGTCTGATAACTTTTACGAATGGGTTTTTATTCTTAGAAACTGCAAAATGGTTTTCATATTCACTCTACGCGGCTTGCACATTTTAACATAACCAGTTCCCTGGATTTAACAAGTAGCCGTGTTCTGCAGTTTTGATGTGATTCACAAACATCTGACCCCAGTCTGGCAATAAATCCCTTTTCCAGTTGGTTCCCATCAACTCCTCCTCATCTTTCATCTATTTCATCCTCCCTCCCGCTCCATCTATCCAGGGTCTACTTTCGCTCTGTGTCTTCTTACTTTTGCTCTGCAAGATGTATTGATAATTTCCAGCAAAAATAGGATTTCAGTTTATTCTACAGAGCAAAAAATCTAATAGCTGAGTCCTCAATTCGATTGTGTTTTACCGGAGTGGAGAACAATAAACAGGGAGAAGGGCTCCGATCCAGACGTTCACCATGAGATTATTGTTCAATAGAGATGTGATACGATTACAGGAAGCAATAGATGATAATTACATCAGAACATGACTTTTCCTCAGCAAACACTTATATTCATTTGGGTTATACATTGGCCCAAATCTGAAAAGTGGCAACGCGTGAGGCGGCCAGGCCGGCTGGTGCCGGACCCGGTGGGTGTTGTTTACAGTCATCACAGGGTCACAAAAGCAGTTACGACGTCTACGTTTATTAAAACACAGCGGCATCACAACTCGATATTTTAAAGCCGCTAACGCAATTTGGATTGTTGAATTATCGTCTCTAAAAATTATACCAAATCTCAAATTTGAACAGCTTCTCAATGCAAATGTTTTATTTAAAATTTTTTTAATTTAACGACAAATTTGTTCAACAAAGGGAAAATATATTTTGGATAAATGCATGAATGAACACTACAACGTTTTCCTCTAAGTTATGTTCAATGGATAAGTTGTATAATGGATAATTCATTTATTTTCAAATAATGATTGAAGTTGCGACAGACACACAACAAATTATAAAGCACGGATCCCTTTCAGCAGCAGTGTGTTTGTTGCGCTTCCTCAGCGATCTGTGGAGGAACAAAAAGCCAAACCAACAGAAAAACAAACTTGGAGTAATGACGCTCGCGGTTTGCCAGGGCCGGCTGTTTGGTGAAGAACGAGCGGTGGTGAGGGCCAGGCGTTGAAAGATGGCCGCTTTTACAAGGCAGGACAATGCAAAAGAAAAATAACAAAACTGGCCAACTTTGATGGCCCCTGAATATATTGGGCACTCTGCCTTGTGTGTGTGCGTGTGTGTGTGTGTGTGTGTGTGCGTGTGTGTGCCTGCAGCAGCGGGTGGGGGGCAGAAGGGTTAAGTAGGATAGAAGGCACCCATACTTCAGATTGGCAGCAAGCTGCCGCAAGGATAATCTAATCAAGGGATGCAATTCAATTAGCCGAGGGTCTCTGGGGCCACCGAGCCGGGCAGCCGGTGGCGGCGCTGCTGCCGAGGGCTCTGCTGCCTCCTCGCCCCGACACCCCGGCGCTACGCGGCCTCCGCCGGGGCCCCGGCCGCTGCGCATGAACGCAGAGGAAATTTGAAATATGAAAATCTCCGATAATTTATGGAAGTTGTCGGGGACGCAGAGCCGAGCCGCTGCCCAAGAGGAGGGAGGGAGGGAGGGAAAGGGGGGAGGAGGAGGCGGGGTGTTTCTCTTCTTTGGAGATAATATTGTTTTGCTGCTGCTGCTGATGATGACATTATAACACAGGCTGTGTGTTGGTGCTCTAAACCTCTGCTGTCGCCATTTTGGTGATTTCCATGTTCACTGCTGATGTTTTTGTTTGATAACGGGAAAATCTTATGTGATGCTCAAAGCATGCAGGGGGTAGAAAGGTAGAAACAGTAGAGTGATGTTTAGTATAAAACAGTGAAATATTGTTCTTTAGCATATATTTATAGAGCAGATTAATATAGCTGAAAATGTTGTTCATCCACCATTTCTGTGTGGATCGGTAAGAGAAAAAAAGAGTGTCACATATCCTGAAATATATATTTTTTATTTCATTACATGAAGATAAGTGACAGAGCAATAAGTGTTGTTGACCAACATGTCACGTGTGGCTTACGTTCTTCTCACCAAAGAGCATCCTGCGTGTCCTCCAGGTCTAATAAACAAGTCGGATTTTAAAAGGAACTCTGGATTTATTAATCTCATGTTGACGAGTTTGCCGTTGCCTCTGTGTTGCTTCTTTGCTCCTTATCACCACAAACATTTTCTATAGCATAGCAATATTACCAATTTTCTCATTACTCTTGCAGAGTCGAGTCACTCTAAATAAAAGAAGCTAATGATAATGCAGATGAAATGACATACGCATAACTGCTTTTGAAAAAATACGCCTCTGTTGCACTCCTCCATATCTGTGTCACAGAGCTGACATGCACCTCCTCAGGAAAGAGAAGGAGCTGATGAGAGCTGGAGTAGTGTGTGTGTGTGGGGGGTGGAGGTGGGTGGAGGTGGATGAGAGAGAAGATGGAGGGAGGGAAACCTTAGCACACACGGAGAGAGAAGCTCTTAGACAGATTATTGCTCATTAGAGGCCGCCTCGCGCCGCACCATTATGTCAAGAGGAATCCTTTTTCATTTGCACAAATTCGCCAGGAATTTTTCTTATTTAGCCCGGGCGCCATTATCAGAGCTGGAAATCAGATTAGCCGATGATTATTCTCTGGCTCGCTTGCCAACGTTTCCCCATGCGGCCTGCGCCGGTGGCTCGGGTTTGTCTTGGCCTTTTGCTAACCTCTGCCCACCAACGAAGACACAACGACAGGCGCGATATGAAATAAACTCGGGCGCAGATAACGCGTTGGGGCCGAAGGTCTTTTGTTTGAGCTGCACATTAACTTGTGTCGTCCACGTCAGTCAGAAAGGAGACATTGTGGATTATTTGTCCCCTTTGGATGCATTAACGTGGATTCATCATATCTATCTTTTATAATGTCTGAATTCATTTGGATGATTTGTAACCAAATACTGTTAATAAGTACAATAAATGTAATGAATAAACACTACATATTAAAACATATAATCAGGGTGTGTTGTTAGAGATGCGTGACCTTACCAGATCTTTGTAGCTCCTTGTCTCCGCTCGCGGCTACGTTAGCCGCCACTAGCTTACCACACCTGTGAGGGAGGAGTCTGTGGTCGTGTTGCATTGTGGGTAACGTAGCAGCCAGACTTTGACAAGGCAGACGAAGGATATCCGGATGTGCTGGACAGATGGAGTGATCCTTCAAGCTAAACTGCACGCTATACTACGAGGCGAGGGAAGAATATTTCCTCCCAGATTACGTTTGACGTTAATGCTGTGGGCTGCAATATTTAACCTAAACCATTTTTAGAAGCTTTACTTTGTACTGCATCAGTATTAACAATGTACTACCACATTGTAATATTATATCAATCTAAGGGGATATTTTGCTCCATACTTTATTGTGCGAATGGTACCTCTGCACATTAGTAGGATTTGGAAGCAGTACTCCCTTTACTTGTAAAGGAGTACTTTCACGCCGTTGCACTGGTACTTGTACTGAATGTGAGTACTTCTAGGGAGGATAACCGTACATGTCAACATGACCATCAAACACCGCTTCCCTTGCAGCAATACAGAGGAGGAACAGGTGGAATGGTTTCCCATTGCTAAATAATCACTCCAATTAGGCAATTAAAATCTGAGGCTGAATCCAGTTATGGATACCCCACGAATAAACCCCCCCGGCACTAATCACAAATCAATAAAGACACGCTTGACTGTTACGCTTTCATTAACCTATTGCTTTTGAACTGCTCGCACAGATTTTGCGTGGCTTTAATTGGCCGTAAAGCAATAACGTCTAACGTGTTGTTAGTTATAGATTCATTAGTAAATAGTGTAAGTCGTTGATTATAATCAGGATAATAATGTGAAACTTGATAACAAGTCGGATGTAAGCGGGGACGAGAGCATGCGGCACCTGAACAGGTGTGTGGAACCGTGCTACTGCTGTCACCCTTTTAGTTTACCACAAGAATTCTGGGTAAAAATGTTCAACACATGTTCTTGACCTAAATGTGTATTGAGCAGGTTTTGTTCATTTTACACAACATGATGCTCGTGTTTTCAATGAGGAGAGTCGTCACATTTAAGGTAATGTTCAATTAAATGTGTCTTTCTGATTGAATTTATGATTGAGGTTGTGTACCAGAGTCATGTGTGCACAGTCCAACCTTTTCTATTAGCCACCTCAGAAAGGTTTGAATTTAATCTCAGAATAAATTATTATGAGCTCTTCTAGTCAGAAAAAACAGTTAACCTTCAAACGTGATCAAAGTTCATTCCCACTAAAGATGCCTTTATGCCACACATGTTATCACTTATTCTGTGACTTCATGGTTGACTTGGATTTATCTGACTTGAAAAGTCTCCCAACAGCAACTTTCTTTACCTCCATAATGAACGAGTAGAGCAGAAATTAAAAGTACAACAAGCTGTTACTTTGTGTAGATTTATTTGAAAGAGATTCAAATGAAAATCAATACTCATTACAACAAAGCGTTGCAAAAAATTATTACATTTTAGCTTTGATAGAAAAACAATTACAGCCTCTTGTTTCATTTTGTTCAAATGCTTTATTTTTGTCTGAGTCAGTCAGCAAATCTGATTAAGTAAGTGCAACACATTGCCACGGATACAAAACAACTTCTCCTCCTTGAACTCCGTGCTCCCTGCAGGGTGACGACGCTGACCAGGCCATCACTCTCAGACCTCCGTCCTGCCAACTCCAGCCAGGGAGGGTCTGCAGGACACCGTGTCTCCATGCTGGAGTCACTGAAAGCTGGCTTGGTGGGAGCAGATTGCTGCCTAATTGTGCTTTTCAGAGCCGCTGTGCACTGGAGGGGGAGGGGGGGGGGAGGTTACCGCAGGGAGGCCTGCGGACCGGGGCCACAGCGGTGGACGCTGCACCGGTGGAATCCAACCCAACAGGGTCTCATTGATCTGCTGAAGCAGAGGTCACGACAGTCCTGAATCTGTAGGCTGACTGGCGGCAGCAGCAGCAGCAGCAGCAGAATCACTTTCTCGCGGTCAACTTTTGGGGATCTTTTCCAGCTCGTGTGAAAAGCATTCTGCAGATCCCACCCCCCACCCCTCATCCACCATTATAAATCCTGAGACTGGATGATCCATCTCTCCCTCTCTTTTTCTCCCTCTCCACATCCCCCCCCCCTCACACCCCTCCAGCACTCCACCAGCCAACCCCTGCTATTTTCACCCCACACACATCCGTCGCTGCACTTATCCAGCCTCAGACGGCTGCTGGCTCGATAGCTAAACAGATTATCTAACAACAGAGTACCTTTCCTTCTCTCTCTCTCTCTCTCTCTCTCTCTCTCTCCCTCCATGTAGTCCTCTGGCCGTGGGTCCTCGGAGGCGAAAGGGGCCCTATTGAGCGGGGCCCAGGCTCTCCACTAGCCAGGCTCTTTATTGAGGCGTCGATGTGGCTTTATGCTGCCAGCGCTCGGTCTTGCCCTCGCCGTCATCAATCATCCTCGGCTCCAGGGCTGCTATCACTGCCCAGACAGCCGGCCAATCGCAGCCAGGAAGCTCTATAGGAGATGGGGAGAGAGGGAGAGAGGGAGAGAGAGAAGCAGAGGGGAGAGAAGAAATGGAGAATCACTCTGTTTCTGTTGCTGCCAGTCTCGAGTCTGATTTGATTGACAGCTTCTGTACCTTGTGGGTGCAAAAACACTGGTATGAAACAAGATTAGATCATGAAGTGAGAGTCTGAGTCATGAAAGCACATATAACCAAGTTAAAATCATCATCATAGAAAGCATTTGGCAGCAATAACAGAGCCTTTTATGGAAGATCTATAGTAATCCTATAAGTTTGAATTCTAGATGAGGGCTTCAGTAGAGAAATATTGCAGCAAAACTATGATTCCCCTAAGAAATAAAGCTGACGACTAAACCTGATACGGTCAGTGAAAACTCACTAATGACTTTCACAGTCACAGTAGACGTTTCTATAAGAATTAAGCTTTATTTAAAAAAACAAAGGTGAGAATTTTTCACTTTTCTCTTTTTCATCAATCCTCTACAGTAGGTCGAATTTCTACTCAAGTCTTAACTTGATTTTTCTTTTTCCCCCCCTGTTGCCCCCATCTCTCTCTGCAGCCCTGAGCTCTCATCCTGCTCCAGGAGGAATAGGCACAATCTGATTACAGACCTATTTTACAGCAGACGCCAGGGCGCAATAAAGGGAGAGAGAGCACGGAAACGGGACTCGGCCCATCAATTAGATCTCTATTAGCAGCCAATGCAGACCTCACCTCAGGAAACGCCGGGGCCCCGAAATTAAGCAATTCTTCAAGCTCGACAAGCCAGTCGACTATATATATGTTTGAGAGAGGAGGAAAGGGAGGACGGTGTCCTCACCAGAGCCTCCATCCAGCAAAACCTCTTATAAAACCTTGAAGAATAAACAATATAGATCCAAAGGATTTGGCTCAAAAGAAACAGAGAGAACCATGCTGAAGATCTAGATCAAGGTGGGTTCTGAGTTCCAAATATAGTCTTATATAGTCATTATTTGTGGTACACTGTCATTGTACATTATATTTACTTTCACAGTAAGTCACACTCAAATTCTTTGAGTGAATTATTCTGAAATAACAGCTGCACACCTTGATCTCAATATGCGTGTATATGATTTAGCATCTTTTGAAGTAAATGCAAGATTTGCGATCAGATTAGGATTTTTCCGTATTCCGCTGTATAATTACAGTGTAACCTTTATTCAAATAAATAAAGTACAAAGTATTTCCTTTGACTGACTGACCAAACCTCAGATATCTCAGAGCGTGACATGATAATGATATTATAATCATATCACAGTGGCTTTTCTTCTTAGTCCCTCCTGTAACCTCCTTCCGGTTCCATTAATCTCCAACTGTTGACCTGCTGACCTGAGGCGGGACAAAATGTCAATATTGGATAATTAGCTGCAAAATGAAGGCCATTTAGAGAGGACACCTTGAGAGGCGGCAGGGCCCTTAATTCATAATTTCCTTTTCAGAAAATTAAAATTTTTAATTTGAAGGTTTTCTAATTTCATTCAATCGACAGCTGCTGTGAAATGCCATAATTGGGTTTGTCAAAGGGATGTGGGCTTTCCATGTTAACAGGGATGCAGGGGTGCAGGGATGCAGCTTCAGATTCTCCTGTGTTTTCTTCTTTATCTGGTTCCTGTATTATTGCACTTTTCTTATTATACAGAAGCTTACTGTTAGATTCCCTGCACAATGCAGACAAAACACAATATTCTGCTCCCAAGCAATAAGCATGTCAGGTCGACTTAAGGTTCATCTTGATTCGGCTTTTACAGCCCTAATGTCCCCGCTCAATTAATTTCTGGCATGATCTGACGCAAGTCCTTCCTTAACAATCCCGGTTCTGTGGCATGCATTTCTCTATTTGCTCAATCAAAGGATGGCCATTTATCATCGAGAGGGACAGCTCCGTATTTGCTACCTTGCCCGCTCGGTTCCAGCACCAAATTCAGCATTTTTATGGAAAACTGCAGTCATTTTGATTGATGAAATCCAAAGATGTCCAAAACAATCCGGGGGATCCCCAACTGTGGCGCACCGGCGGGGCGCTCCAGTGTTGTCATTGTTCCGCAGAAAGAAAAGAGCGCGTCCGGAGAACACCAGGGGGAAAGAAAATCACGATTTTCAGTTCAAAAGGCTCCGAAAAGCAGCGTTTCTTTACAGGCAGTGGGAAAGTGCAGGAAACCCCCCCCCCCCCCCCTCCCCTCTTGATGCATTCAGCTATAAAAGACGCGGACTAATAGAAACAGGGCAGAATAGTGAATTGATTATGTTTACTGTGAGTGTTGATGTCATTTGTGCCGGGGCGTGGGAGCCGGCTGAATGTCTGGCGCAACACACACACACACACACACACACACACCCTGCATTCATCCGATTTACGCACATCGCCCCATTGTGTGTCGCGCAGCACGCGAGAAGTAAGGATTCCTCGAAACCGACTCCAGAACAGCGCTGCACCCATATAGCGTTCATCCACCCCGCGCGCAACGCCTCGTTTGCGGTGATTCATAATGCCAAAAAGTCACCTGTCCACCCCTAATTGGCTCCTTCTGTTATTAATACCGAGGAGCGGGGCTCCCCTTTTGCACCCGTGGAAATGAGCCTATATTGCCTGTACTTAATACAGCATCACCCAAAGGGGAGATTCAATAAATCTCCCCTTTAACGGCGTTTTTCCCCTCGAAACTCCTTCGGGCGGGTGGAGGCCGTGTCAGGATAGCGATTGTGCGCCAGTGCTTAGGACCAGCTGCTCCCAGGACAGACAAGCCCTTGTCAAATTAGGCGGTGACAAGCAGGTCCTCCAACTGCCTGCAGGCGCTCCACCAGCCAGCAGTGTACAGTCCGCGCAATTAGTATCAATTTCTGTCGAGACCTCCTCTGAGCGCGCAGACGCAGGCCGGGTAAACGGCCAAACATTGTCCAAATAACACCGAGAGGCACAAACGACATCGCGTAATGGGGCCAGTGTTAACCGCGCGGCGCTGTGCGCAAAGACAAACGTTTGAATTTAAGAGCGTCGGGACGTGGGCTGAAGGATCTAGTTTCTAAAAGCTAGACCCTCAACCTGCCGTGACCGCATGGCGATCAACATTAAGCGCTCGTGTTCGTGTTGGTTTGAACGAGTTTACAAAACATTTGTGATGGCGTTACTCACATTATCGTCAATAAACGCGAAATGAGGTGTCACTGGAGAAGCATTATTACCACTTATTATGTATGTGTTGTAATAATGGCTATAATTTCATTGTGCGTTTAATAATGCGTCAGAAATCAGTTTAAACCCAATAGACAAGAACACATTTGGACATGGTAAGTTTTTAATATATTAATATTTTGTTGAAACACTTGCAAAAGATGTCCTGGTTAAAACTATTTTATTTAATATGCGTGCATTCATTTCAATCTAATCCCATTAAAAAAGCCTTAGTGGATTGGTTACCAACATTGATATTTTGGGTACAAAGCAGCCGGTTCCAGGGGTTCATTTAACTTGTCATTGATTTATTTGTTGTTATGCAACATCAATGAGACAGTTTGGGTTTGCCGGGTTGGGAATATTCCTTTTGTTCTTTCTAATTGGAAAAAAATACAGTTTTAATTGTTTTTTAATTTATTATAGGTGTTGTTATACCAATATTGAAGACTTTTAATCATCAGGTCTGGAGTTATAAGTGAGGAATTCTATTATTTTCATGCTATCCTCAGACCTGGTGTTGTACATATGCCTGGCAACAACAACAAATTATATATATATATATATATATATTTTGCATAAGTCAAACTTGGATTTTGGTCCAGATCAGCAGTCCAAGCGGTCAAACGGTGAAACCATAATGTGTCCTTTTTACTTTCATATGAAAAATAACTGATCCAAAAAAACATAGAAAACGACTTTAGCAAATAAGCTGCTGGAGTTTAATTCCAAAGATTTACAGTAACGGTCCGAGATGTTAGAAGCACATTCAACTCGGTGGCTCACTATTTAAACCAAACTGACCGTTTGGGGGTCCAGAGAGAGTAAATAAATGTCAAGCCAGCACTGTCACAACGCTGACAACCCACAGAAAGAAGCATTGCTCACCAAGCCCTCTTTGTGACCGGTGTCACCGCCAGCAGCTGGTGGTGGCATTCCCGGGCCTCGGACTCTGCCCTTTGGCCCCCGTGGGGTGGGGGGGGGGTTGGACTCCGGACAGGGCGGCCCAGTCGTCTCCACAGCGCCGTGATAGCTCGGGTCAGCGGGGCCACGTCTTCCTGCAGGAAGGGCCGCGGCAAAGCGTGCGAACAAAAACCCCAGAGCGCACCAGGCCAGTGGGACCATTAGTATGAGCGTTTGTTTAACTAATTAGCAAGCTGGGCAGCAGGGGGAGGCTTGTAAAGGCGACATGGACGTCATATACGGCAAAGGTATGACGCGGGATGAACTGTGACCGACGCGCAGACGTCAAGTGAGGGTTGTGTTGATTTGAAGCCCATATAGGGGACGTCAAAGGAGCGGCGCGTTTCGTCACATTGGCCAAAATGTGACAGCCAGCACCGGCCTGTGATACGTTTGAGGTGCAGCGTAGAGAGCTTTTTTTTTCAGAAGGGATATTGTTCCGCGGGGTTCAAAGTACAGGACGAGGACAAGGCGGAGCACTGAAGTTCAAGAACAGTGCAAACAGCACATGCCAACAAAAGGAGCTGCGCGGCATTCGGCCGCAGAGCAGAAGAAGACGTTGTTTGGGGCGGGGGGGTCCCGCGTCCAATATGGGAAAGTTTTTGTGGGGCGAGGTCGACGGGTCAAGAAAAGTAAACAAGAGAGCAGTCTTGATGACAGAAGGAATTTAATATCAAAAATACATAAATCTTCAAGTGAGGGCAGGCGCACAATGGGCACAAAGGGGGCGAGTGTTCGAGTCAACACGGGTTTTTTTTATTTTTATTGTTGGCGATTAAATGGATCGGGCAAAGTTGTTAACATTTAACACAAAACCTTGGCACTAGAATAGAGGCCGAGCAGAAAAGAGAGGGGGGGGGTCGGTCGACCATGCGCACATGGCGGCTCATGCGCAGGATATAGTGGCGCTTGTGCGCCGACGCAGCGGTGTTTCTTTCTCAGTGGTCTTAAATCCCGCAGCTCGTTTTGCACGTTTGATACCTTTCCGCTACGATTCTTGGCGAAATGGCAGCGCTCGAGCACGAGCATTTACACGCATGAATCCTCGTGGATGCTGTGACGGACAGACCCCACCTCATCTCGTTGGATCGCATTAGTGCGCGCGGCGATCCTTCATCGGATACAATTAATCTCCCCGTCGTGCAGGAAATAGGCCCGCGTTTGTCTCCGCGTCCCCTCTGACTGCTGCCACGCTGGCCGCAGCGCTGAGAACTCTGTCTGACCTTCGCCCTCGCCCCTGCCAAGCCCTGCAAGTTCCCCGGCAGTCGCAAACAACTCTGAATTCCATAATTCTTCACGAAAAGGCACTATTAGGGAAAAATCCTTCCTTTTTGACAATTTAATAGTGCAAACTAATCATCTGGTTGACACGGGCCATTCATCTCCGTGCAGGCGGACAAAGACAAGGCCTTTTCCAAAGGTTCGTCTGGACCCTGCAGTCAGACCAGCCTCTATTTTCAGATCAAGTGCACAATAAAAGCATTGTGACTGCTTAATGGCTATGTTTGTGAAGCCACCCAAAACTCAGTGTATTAAATGTTTTTTGGGGGGGGGGGGGGGGTAGCGGCTGCAGAAGTGAGAATAACCGGTTTCAATGAGAAGCAGAATGATACAAAACTTTGCAGTTTAAAGCAATCAAAAACGAAACAAAAGATGGAGGTGCAAAAAAACTGAGGCGCCACAAAATTGCTTAAACCCCCCCAAGTTATGAATTCGTTTCTGAATCAATTTAGCGGTGCAGGCATTTTCCAAACATCCTCTTGCGGGAGTAACAAGACAGGGAAATTGATCCGGTGAGACCTCACCTCTCGGTGCGCCTCAATAAAAGAGACATCAGCCTCTCTCGACGACCGTGTAATTTTTAATATATATGCAATAAATGTTCAATTTGTTTCCAGAAATGACAGGTAATAATAACCTAAAAATTTTAAAGGCATCCATTATAGCCACAACAATGCTCGTGCATGTGTGCTGTGACGCAGTGCTTTGATTAATTTGTATTTTGATTGTATTTGATGCAGCAATAAGGTTACAAAGCTCGACTTTGGAGCATTTTCCTCACTGAAAAGCAAACATGACGACGGCTTTGCTTTAATTGTATATACTTATATGTATTCATGAATAAATATATATTACTTTTTAGGACATATAGATTGCTTTTTTTTCAATTTCATAAAAGCTTATTTGGGGGTTTTCGGTGCAGTGTCTGCTGTTATCTGTGCTGTATCTCCAGCATCCTCAAGGGTGACTTTCCACACAAATGATTCAAATCATTTGACATCCAATTAGAGGTGTCACACTATTTCCCTAAGCAGTATACGCCTCCGAAGAATTGTACATCCTCAGACACAAAACCCCTCTTTAGGATACAATTATTTGATTAAGAAATGAGCTGATATTTGCTAGAAATTCTTACACCATTTGGGATGAATTTAATCAGCTAATTGCATGATTATAATGCTACATTTTGAATAGTAAATGTAGGTTGATGTGAAATCTGCAGACCAGCGGGTGGTATTCTGTTTCTGTGTCCTTCACAGTCCTCTCCCAAAAATCTCTTAAAGTATTTAGGGAACAATTTCTCTATATCAATTTCCACATTTCAGTGCAAACTCACTATTGAAACGTCCAACGTACCCATAGGAACACTTCAGTGATCATTTGGAGGATCTTTTTTTAAACCCACTGAATAAAAGGTCACAATCACTTCGGTTGTGAGTGTTTTTCAGTCTGTTTGCAGCTCAGACGTGGATATGTTCGGATGCAGGTATGAGGAGAGGCCGGGGGGTCTTGGGTCGCTGTAGACCTTGACACAAAGTGCATTAAGTTGGCTGATCTCTCTCAAACAGTTTGATTAATTCACTCCCATTCAGGCCTAAGCGAGCAAGGAGTGGAGGGGACGTGACCAATGACATAATAGCCTCTGTCAAGCAGCCTTGCAAAACGCCCAGACCATTTGTGGTGACAATCCTGATGCCATCGGTTCCATTATGGACCCCCCCCCATTCAACCCAGAAACAAACATAGCTTTACTCACAAAAAGTCAGCTTTCTGGTAGATTCCCTCTGCCTTCTGTGTCAATAGGTTTTGGCTCCAGGCCCATTGTTAGCATCACACTCCCTCCCTGGTAGGAAGCGCTGTTTTTACACCAAACACAGAATAAATCAACACAATTGTGTCAGACCAATGTCGCTTCTACAAATAATGAACGTGTTAGTTATTTTAAATACATATTTAGTAATATGATTGTGATTAATTCGAAATAAACACAAGGCTGCTCATTCCTGAAAATCCATTGAAGATATGAAGATAAACGTTCATGCACACACTCTCAATCTTAAGGGATGTATTTTTGTTCAGCTCTCATTCCAAAATCTGCAGAAAGTTTTTTCCGTTTTTCCTGACTTTTTTTTTATAACAAAAGTTTGAAGCAGCAGATTTCAGGAGCTGTTTCACCTTTGCTCACACGCAAAGGCAATATAACAAAGGAGTTCTGAGTAAATAAGGAAGAAAGGGAGGAGATGGACCGGTCTTCTCTGTAAGCCGGATCAGCGCAGACGGAAGCCGAGAGGCCGAAAGTCGAGCCTAAATTCCCTGCGATAAAATAGAGAGGATTTTCCCAAAATAAGACTCGCGTTTTTCTCCGAACAAATTGGAACAATCATGATGCCGAGATGGCCCAACGACAAGATTCAACACGGGTATTTTTTTTCTAATCGTTTTTAATTTGAGTTTATTGTTAAATCCAGATGACCAAGAAGCTTGTTTGTTTAGCTTGAGCCTCCGATAGAAGCAACACGCTGCTTTTGGCATTCGATGCAAATACTCGATGTCAACACATTTGTACCAAAAGACTGGTCATCATATTCTCAAATTTAAAAAAAAAGAATATTCAGACTCAACAAAAGCACTGAACAGCAGCAATAAAGCGAGAGCCTTGAGGAAATAAAACACCCAAGAGGAGAGATCCTCGTGCAAGAGGATCTCTTGGATTCTTAGTGGCTGTTTTGCAAATGTTTCCTTTATAGGAAACGCCACAAAAGCCACAAGGCAAAAAGGTGAGCACGACCCAACCTGCAGGTTTTCAAGTGGGTTCTTTCATATGTTGGAGGCCTACAATATAACAGAGACAGGGGAATTCATTCTCATCATGAAGTAATCGCGTGGAACGCCTTCTCAGATCCTCCAACAAAGAGATAAAAGGCGCAGAAGTCTGTTGATAACTCTCTTTATTGTCTCTTTTACCAGTTTGAAGGAAATGCACCGTGTCCTTCGGTTCCTCCCCATCGCACCAGCTCTTTCTTCCCGTCGTCTTCCTCGCTTGTCCCGATTTTCCTCTCTCACACCACACCCTATTTGTTTTGGGCCGAATGGACCCAGAGACTGAGACAGAGCGATTACAAGTGTCTTTGAGCATAAACGGCGGTTTACTTCTCTTAGAAAGCGTTGGCTTTGGTCTGTCACTCACTCTCTATTCTGTTCTTTTTTTATTCTTCCGAACGGCTTTGAAGGAAAGCGGTAAATAAAGTGTTAAAGTGAGCGCAGGTTGATCCGCGTTTCGTTCCCGTAGAGAAAGCCATGATATCCGAAGTACATTGTTAGTATTACTAGGCGTAGTGTAATTGTAGTATTCTTGTTGTCTATAAATTCGTAACTGTCTTAAATATTTCCATTAAATACTACAATACGAATAGCATCATTATAACAACGGGAATAATAGCCATAATCGTTTGGTTGTTATTATTATTATTATTATTATATGGCTGAAAATAAGATTCGTTCTCAAAAGAAAGAAAAATAATGCAATATCTTTTTCTGTCTTATTTTATTTCTTTTTTATCCGAAAATAAACCATTCAAATGATACAACCATAATTTAGTTTTAGATTATTTACTATATTTATTGTATTCTATTAATCGAAATATGTATATTTATTCTAAGATGTAGTAACTTCTCTTTGTGGTAAAACTAGAACGAGAAAAGAGGGAAATCACAACCTTTTCACAGGATTATCCTTTCGATGACGCGTAAAACCCTCTATTTTATTTTATAAAGGGCTGTATGTTCGTCTTACTTCTAATATTTTATTAAATATTAAAAAAGTCTTATTTTCTTATCAGAAGTTTCAGTCATACCCCCTCGTGTATACGTTGAGTGTCTCTGACGTTCCTCAACGACTATCCTGCATCACTGTAATGCTCCTTTAATATTCTGCTGCTGTACATATTCATTATTTAGTATTTCTGGACACATTTCTCCCACTGAAAACGTCTCTCGGGGTCTGACGGTCGCTCAGAAGCCCGTTCAAATTAAAACTGCGGCAGAAAATGTCTCATTTAAATTCTCACCTTGATCTCTCTAGTGACTGGTAATGGCTCCAGAAGAGCTGACGCTTAAAAAAACAAAGGATCATCAAGTTCTGTTCTCGCCGTTCTGTGAGTTCTGTAACGCCCGACAAATTAGACGACGGTGTAAAGAACCGCAACAAAAGCACAGAGGATAGAAACACTGTTTGGTGCAGAATCATCAGCTAATCACAAAAAAATGCATGCAAGGCACGACGCTGCAGCCTTACTTACTCTGTGTGCTGAGTTGAGTCCCCGCAGTTTAATTACAAGCCCTAATTCCCAATCGCAGATAGTGTCAAAAAGTCTGCGACTATTTCTCAGAGATTCCCTTTAACAAGTGGAAACTTAGAGTCCTCCTGCACCATTTTATACATGATGAGCCGTCAGTAATGGGATTATTAAACAAAAACGTTTCAGGCGCTGGCGTTAACCTTTTTTAATGCCTAATTAGGTTTTGCAAAGAAATAATTAGATTCTACAGTGCTTACACTGCCTATATTTTCAAATGGCATCTGCAGCAAACACATTATCCTGCGACACTCGTGCCAATAATCTGCGGATAGATGCGCCACAGCAGCAGTCAGATGTAAGATTTTAAAACAAGTTGCGACCAAATAAGGTGCACTTAAAAGCTAAAATAATCATCCAATGGCGACTATTGGGCAGGCCGCTGGAACGCGTTGTTCTGGCCGAGTGCGCCCTCTGTTGGTGCTTGTGTTGACTATTGAGGCATGAGATCATTTGGATATTTGACAAATCTGTTATTTACATTTTCCGAGAAAATATAGAAATAACCGACAGACAAATAATCTGTATTCATCCAGTGCAATTTTCAATCGGTGATAAAAGCTAAAAAAGAAAGAAAAGAAGATGGTTCTCAAAAAATGCGGTGACCACTGCGCAGGCGCGCACTGCAGCGTTTCCCTTGTTCTGTGCATCCCTTGCTGTGACGCAGAGGCCATATTGAACACAACAATTGAGGCAATACTTTTGACCTTTAGTACAATAAAATCAATCTGATGATTATCTAAAACAAAACTGTCTTGTTGTGTGATTCCTGAAAGAAACTTATTTGGCTTACATTACAAATAACATACACCGGTACAGCACAATGTAGCAATACTTGTATATATTATTCCCAAGAAATAAAAAAACAATACTAAATAATACCTTTTAAAAATTCTGCTGCTGCTGCTTAATAGATGAATCCCACTTGTGTTGTTTTCTTAAACAATTAACTAATCTTTCTGTTGTGTGTGTTTGAATTGTGTCTTTTATGCCTTTATCGTACATGTCCAGTTTCCAGTTTCTTCCGCTAGAGGGAAGTGTTGCCCAATGAACCAAGCAAACGAGCCACAAGCTCTCACCCTCAAATCTCGCGAGAGCCACCTTTCTTTTCTCCTCGCTCCCCCTGCATGCTTCAGAAGGTCAGCTGATCATTTACTTCATTCAGTGTGGTGACCAGTAGCCTGTCACTTTTAAGCTAGCACGCAACGTAATTGTTCGACGCTGTAACGCTGGTAAGCATTGTGCTTTATTATTCCTATTAGTATTATTATTACAATCAACCAGGAGTATTCCGTCAGTGCCTCCTTCAAACAGCGGACGCTAGTAAGGTTGGTAACGTTGCAAGGGCTATCAAGGAAGCTAACGTTAGCGCAGGTTTTAGCTCAAATGCTAGTAACGATGGTAACAGAATATTCTAGAGCCACCTGCTAACGTTAGCTGGCTTCACGCTGTAGCATCAATAAACCGCCGGCAGAAGTCTAAACGGTGTTTACAGACGTAAGTCTGAACGGATCCATGCGCAGGTCTGCTGTTCGCAACGCTCCTCCATTTATTTGAAGTAACGTTAGTTAGTCCTTACTCACCGTAACAAGCTAAGTTGGGCTAGCGTAACTGAGCTGACGTTGTCTTAACAAGATAAACGTTTCTAAGCTCATATAATACCTGTTTATATGTTTTGTATGTTACTATGTTCATCATTAGAGCTGTTAGGTATTCATAGTAAAGTATAAACAGTATTCAGCCCTGAATTGTGGTTATTGGAATAAAAGTAAATAGTGGCATGACTAGACACGATATTAAGCTAATTAAACTACACAACCGAAAAGTACTGGACCTCAGTCGATGTTAACTTGTTTCCCCCCTGCCTTAAATATGGATGCAAATGATTTATCGACAAAAATACTTATTCATTATTGTTTCAGTAATTTGTTGAGGAAGAAGCCAAACATGACGTTGTTATTCCAGCTTAGCTGTGAGTTCTTTGTGCTTCCCTTTGTCAAATGTGACAAGTGTGTTGAGAATGTGTCATTCTCAACACACTTAGCTGAGGCAAACACAAGTTGTGTTGACCATTGAGGAATGACATCATTTGGATATCTGACAAATCCGTGGTTTACACTTTTTGATATATACAAATACCCTAATTAAGAAAGGGTATTTGTATATTTCTTATAGTATAAGACAAATTGTCTCTATGCAAGCAGTGCCGCTCTCCAACGGTGCTATAGCTAGAAAAAATAAAAAGGTTGATCTCATGAATGTGTGCTGCGACCTCTGTGCCGGGGCGAAAATAATTAGTCATTAGAAAAGTAAACGCTTCAGTAATTTGTTGAGGAAGAAGCTTAACATGATCTTATTCCAGCTTCTTAACTGTGAGGACGTTATGCGTCCCTTCGTCAAATGTGAAAGAAAGAATATCATCTGACTAATTGACGAAGAAATCAATGTTTAGATGCGGCAGCGCAGGAAAGCTTTTAAGTAGTTACTTGTGACTCATGTTGGTTTGAATGGTCAATGGTTTCATGATGCAATTTTTCTCCCCAATAGAGCGATCCGCCCCCACAAAGATGGCAGACACAAACCAACAAAGTCCTCCTCCCCAGCTAGGGCCGTTGGTAAGTTGAGTGTTTGAGCCACACAGCGTCCAACTATTTCTTTCCTTGTAGGATACGCTCTGCTGATTTCTACATATAAAGATACTTGTCATAAGCAATGCTACTCGGCATAAACAAACATTTGTGATGTGTCTTTTTGAAGGCTTCTGAGAAAAAAATCATATTTGTCATCATAAATTAAGCATCATGAGTTGTGGTATTTATTTCAGAGCAGTTTATATTGTGCAGGTATTTCCTGTTATGTTGTCCACCGTTTACATATATACACACAGAGTTTCATCTTAACAATCGTATATTTTTCTTTTAGTGATACAACAGTGTAGTTAGTGATGTTCCTGAGACATTTATTTCTAATGATGCACAGTCAATCACCCAAAACCAATCAGCAACTCTTTCAACAATCACTTTTATTTTACCCCATTTTTTCAAGCTTGAATATATATATATATATATATGTATATAATGAATATTACGAATACATATTATGTGAATATTGGTCCTCTGTCATTCTAAAACTGCAACTTGTCTCCTGTATTTAGATTAAGGGGTGTAGCATTAACAGCAAGTTTCTTTTTTACTCATTTCCACAGCAATTTTTAATGAGTAACAAGCTGGAAACTGCAATGTGGCTTTCACGACTCTTCACAGTCTACTGCTCCGTTATGTTTATTCTACCAATTTTGGGGTGAGTACGATCGGTGCACACAGTCAACACTACTTTCACCCTTCCCATCCTTTCTCCCAGCTGGAATTAATGTGAAAGTATTTGTGACGGCTTATGTATTTCAGGCCGTATGCAGCAGCTAACTTCTATCAGCGAGCCTTGCTAGCGAACGCTCTTACCAGTGCCCTGCGCTTGCACCAAAGGCTCCCACGCTTCCAGCTGAGCAGAGCTTTCCTGGCCCAGGCTCTTCAGGAGGACAGCTGCCATTACTTGCTCTACTCACTCATCCTGGTCAACTCCTACCCCATCACGAGTATCCTTTTAACTGGAAAATACTGGTAAAGGACAAATGTATGGGCTGAATGTTTAATTGAAATTCTATGGAGCAGGTTGGATGCACTCCGCTCAGTGAGGTTAGTCTCGTGATGACCATGTTTTAATCATTAAAACATAATAATCTCTCCTAACTGCACCAAATCGTTGTGGCGAGGGGGTTTCTCCATATTTTTATGTTTATCCTTAACACTTGTGTCCAGTGAGCATCTTCCCAGTCTTCCTCTTCTCTGTGCTTCATGCCACCACCTACACAAAGAAAGTCCTCGACGTGAGTACGGAGCAGCAGCCATCCGCTCAGACAAGTTTATTGCTCAGAGTGGAGAGCGAATGACCGTCAGCCTGTTGTTTACATGTTTAACCCCCCCCCGGGGAGTGCTGGTTGAAAGGGAATCGTGGCTCTGCGTAACTGCGGTGCCTGAGCACACCAGCCATCTGCATGAAATACCTAGTGCACTGCAGTGGCACAGTGAAACATTGTTTGTGTTTCTTGTCATCGTCTTTCCTTATCACCCGGTTAGTTGCTACCAGTGTGAGTGGAATGTTTTTCATAACTTTCCCAGAGTGCAGGACGAGAGTTTGCACAGCAGCTCCAGGCACTCCAACTTCCATTTCACTTACATTTTAGAAATCAAATGAATAATAATAAATACATCATTTTGATGCGATCTGCTTTGAAATGTGTCTCTGTATCGGTATCTGAGGGACACCCAGTGCCTCATTGCCAACTTTGACTGCTTTGTTGTCTCTTCTGCTTCTGATGTTCTCCTCCTTCTTTGCAGTCTGTGGGCCCCAATAGCTTGATGTTCATCAGAAACCTCCTGGACAAACTTACATCCAATCAGCAGAATATCCTGAAGTTCATTGCCTGCAATGAGATCTTCTTGATGCCAGCCACTGCTTTCATGCTCTTCAGGTAAGTGCATGTGTTCTAAGTGTTTTTCTTTTTTAAGTTCTTTATTGTCAAAACATTGCATATATGATGGAAGCACCCACTGTGTTCTTAGACAGTTTGCTGCTTTAACAACCATCGGTTTTCTGATCTTGTATTGTAATAACAAGAAATTACGCCATAGGGATTATGTGGGAAAAGTTTTGAAACATGCTGAGCAAATAACTATTATTAATGTTATAGTTTATAATTAAAACATCCCTAATGTTGTAATATCTGTGTTTCCTTTATGTTTTTGACAGTGGCCAGGGAAGCTTGCTGCTGCCTTTCATTTACTACCGATTCCTCACCCTGCGCTACACATCCAGAAGAAACCCTTATTGCCGGTAAGATGATGAATGATACCATGACTTCCCACAAACCATCATTCTACTGCAAGTTAGTTTTTGCAGATCATGGGGTGAAGAAATCCTGACTGTTTCTGTATTACTCTCAAAGTTTACCTGAGACATTTGGTATTTGACACTAGAGATATTTTGTATATATTTTTTTGCGTTGCATGCTTGCAGGGTTGGGATGTCTGGACCTTGCATGCATCGGAGCGATAATTCAGAGGCAGCGACATTACATCAGCCAACAGTAGCTCATGTGCAATACAGTCCAGCGTTATCAGCGTGTTTAGGGCAAAGACACATTAGAGTAGAAATATGGGAGATATGTTTGTGGTAATTGAGAAACAGTGGGGCGGTTACATTGTTTGCAGAAAGGTTTTAATATACTGTCATCTGTCATAATAAAGTGTTCTGCTGTAGAAGAAAAAAATGTTCTAAACTTGTTGATTTCATAACAAATCTTCTCTGATATGAAACCAAAGGAGGACCTTACCCGCCAGTTAATTACTAAACAAATCTGTTTCCACCGCAGCACCTTGTTCACAGAGCTGCGAATCCTTCTGGAGCACTTTATCATGAAGCCCGCTTGCCCCGCCTTCTTCAGGAAGATGTGCCTCAGCAGCATCGCCTTCATCAGCCGCCTCGCCCCCGCCGGGGTTTGATTCAGCCACGTAGACGTTTTGCTTTCTTTCTGTTTTGGTTTTCCACCATTTGAGATGTGACTTAAACTTTGATGAGGACAGACATTGCCATCAACAGAAGGAACTGTTTTTTGAATGTCAACTTTACAGCCTCTGCTCCAACTTCTCTGTATATTTGAGTGTGGTTGAAGAGCAGCCAGTAATGCACTGAAGTCTCATGGTGATATTTCTTTTCCCATCTTCTTAATGTGACCTCATTCAAGCGGTGGACACCCCTCACTTTTACGTTCACTGGATGCAGCACAGTAGACGTCAACTGTGATCTGCATGTTCTGGCAGTTATTAATATTAACTCTCTTTTTTATGTCCTTATTTATTCATGAAAATCACTTCTTCAATGATGAAACGTTAACATTCTCAGATCAGTAACTTAAATTAAATGTGCTTATACATTATTGAAAAATCTTTTTTTAAAACATGATCGTGTTGTGCTTGGATAAATGGAGGATGAGGCTTGTTTGCAGTTTCTTCGTGGTCCAATTTATTTTCATGTGCAAAGCACCTAGTGCTCGGATTTCTTTAAATGCCTAACTTCAAATGTGCTCTATTAATGCCATTCACCCACTCTTAACAACATGCAACATCTATAAATGTGTGATGTCAAAATAGCTGTTGAACTGAGAAACAAGATATCTGCTGTATTTTATAGAATGTTTTAAGGTACCAGACATTTGCTGTAGGATTCGTGCTTGAACACACAATGTCTGTCATGTGTTGAATGCGTTTCTTGTTCGAAAGCTGTTTTGGAATTTGCTTCATTTATTTGTCGCTAAGTAGTTTTCATCCTGAATCCATGCTTTTATTTTTTTCTGCCATTTTGCTTCCGGACAAAACCACATTTTTATGACGAGAATGAAATGATCTCTTAATTAAACCAATAAAATATTAAATATTAGGAAAGTAGTTTGAGCTTATGATTTGTTTTGATTGCTTTAGCTGAGGTTCGCCTGACAATCTACGCATCTTAAAGTAGGGAACGCCCCCTCCAGGATTTTTATGACCACAAGCAAGTATAGACTTAAAGTTGGAGGGTTTTTTTAAACATCTTGCCTATCAATACCATCTTTCATGAATGGATGTATATTTTGTGTTAAAATGGTTTTATTATAATGCATGCATTAAGGTACACTATACACCGTGTGGCCACTGTACTCTCTGCAATCTCCAATACAACTGCTTCAAAATATACTTTTGTGTTACCCATAGTTATAATGGGTTTGTGACTCAATTTAGGTACATAGGATTTTAGGATCAAGGTTACTATTGCTGATGTTCTAGTAGGAAGTATATGCTGCTCCCCTCATGTTGGATTAAAAGGGGATAAAGATTTAGTTAAGTAAAATACCATGTTTGATTAGGCCAAAAAATAATAATCAAAAACATTTTTCAAAGAATGTATTTGAATTATCACACTTACAATGTCAAAAAATCTGCAAAGCCTTGTTTGAATATTGTAGATTGTACTGGTGTCCTTTGGCCCTGGTTGTCTCTAATAAAGCGGCCGCTGACAAGCACAGAACCGACTGGAACAGCGTCTTCGATAGCTGACCAATCAGGACGCGTCTACCAGTCGGTCTCATCCAATGGCGTTACGTCTTGTTTCTCTAGCGGCGTTGCCATTGACAACAGTTGCTGCGTTTATCCCATCCTGAAGTGTTTGAGAGAGCTTGTATCGGTGTTTAAAGAGGTTTATGTTAGATTTGACAACATGCTCAAACCGTGACCTGTTTCTGTGCTTTCGTGGTCGCCCGGTAAATTTAGTTTAAGGTTATATATTTTCACCCAAGGGGAACTTTGGCGTGCCAGCAAATCGTTTTAGCCAATTAGCTTGCTAGCTAGCGTTAGCACACCGAGCTAATCTCCCCGCGTTAGCTAATCTTTGGCTTCTCTTTGCCGTTACTTTCGTCTTCAACAAGAGGTGAATGTGAATTGGGTGGACTGCAACTGATGGTCTCTGCATTATTCCGACTGGATAACCAGAGGTAACATTTAACGTCACATGTTTATCTTCTGAGATAAAAGCCCCAGTGGAAAAAGAAGAAGATGGAAATCCACCTCAATCGAGTAGATTACATGCAGGTAACGCCAGAGGACAACCGGTGGTTCGTTCGGTTTAATTAACTTTAGATGTTTTTTACTCCTACATTGTATTCATTTGCTGTCAAAATAAAATACTTTGAATTTGGAAAACGAAACAAAAGCAAGCAAAACAATTTACAGGTTAAATATAAGCACAGGATGTAATTTACTGTAAAGTAGCAGTAAACAATCATGTTTTTTTCCCTGACTGAAAGTGTTTTTTAACTTAAGGAACTTTTTTTAACTTTGTCAATATGTGTAACACAATTTCTTCTACTTTGTCCTCACAGGTTGGTGTGACATCCCAGAAAACTATGAGGCTGCTTCCAGCGTTGGGGAAAAAGGCAACTCAAAAGGTATTCATCTGTCAGAGCGCTGTTTGTACGTCTTCATTTGCCTTCAGTTGTACCAGTTATTGTGCTTTAAGCGTTTCATTCTGTCATTGTCTCTGTGTTTCAGGTTGCTATCGCTGACCATGATGGTATAATAACTTGTTTTGGGATGAAGAAGGGAGAAGCACTGGTGAGAGTCCTGGTTAAGATTCCTCTTTCCGTGTCATACGGGTTTATCTTAATTTCGGTTTCTAATGTTAAGGAATGTCTCTGGTGTTTCAGCCCGTGTTTAAAACACTGCCAGGGCAGAAAATAGCCAGACTGGACCTTGGAGGAGCTGCAGGAACTCCCCAGGAGAAGATCTTTGTTGGTTCTGGTTCTCAGGTCCGAGGATTCACCAAGAAAGGCAAACAGTTCCTCACCTTTGAAGCCAACCTCACTGAAAGCATCAACGCCATGTAGGCAGCGCCGCTCTCCTTCTCGGTTGACTTGTGCTGCTTGAATGGCTGTGAGACTTTAACTGTTGGTCATCTCTTCTCCAGGCATGTCTCAGGCGCTGACCTGTTGGTGTGTGCAAGTTACATCTACAACCACTACTGTGACTGCAAGGACCAACACTACTACCTCTCTGGAGACAAAATCAACGACATCACCTGTTTGTCTTCAGAAAACCCGACTCGCCCTGTCCCGGTCCTGGCGTGTCAAGATCGAGTCCTCAGAGTGTTGCGGGTAGACAAACAAATGATACTTGCTTTTCTGAGTTTAATACAGTTTGTTGTTCTATGTAAAAATACACGTATGTATGGTGTTTATTTATTTATTGTAGGGATCAGAGCTGGCCTACGATACGGAAGTCCCTGGCCCTCCATCCGTCTTGGAACTATACAACAAAGAAGGAGGCGAGTTCCTATGTGCTGTGCTCTAGAACAATAACACTTACGACTGCTTTGTACGGTACAGACCCGAAAAAACGCCATTGATTTCTCTGCAGGTGAGGAAATCCTCTACGGAACTACCAATGGCAAAATAGGTTTGGTGCGGATTGGTGAGAGCGCAGCTGCGACCAGATGGGAGATTGACAATGATAAAAAGAAAGGAGGTACATTCCTTACATGATCACATCAGGGCTTTACCGTTTTACCCACTAAGGATCACTTCTATGTTTGATACCAACTACTTCACATATACATTAACTCTCAGGATGTAGTGAAACAATAACGGCATGTATGACTTTTTCTTTTTTTGTCAACAATACAATATTGCACGGTATCAAGGATGTTACTAAGGACGGTTTTGACTTTGGCTTTATTTAAACTTCCATCAGGAATTCTTTGCATCGACACCTATGACATAATGGGAGACGGCGTGGGTGACGTCCTGGTGGGCAGAGATGATGGCACTGTGGAGGTGTATGGTTTCGACAGCGACAGTGAGCCCACATTACGCTTTGAACATGTGAGTTATGCCAAGCACGACTCATCTTTTATAAGGTTATTTGTGGCGATGGTGGCGAATGGAGTAGAGAGGGTGCGCCGGAAACTGCAAGGATGGCAGTTTGAACCCCGACTGCTCCGTGTCGAAGTGTCCTTGAGCAAGACACCAAACCCTCAACTGCTCCCCGGACAAAATGTAAAAATCATGGGTTACAAATAAGAAAGTTGCAAATAATTAAGTCGCTAAAGCGTCAGCTAAATGTTGCTTTTAATGTTTCAACTTTCATGGTAGAATTAAATATATTGTAATGTTTAACCACAGGTTCTGATTTTTATTTTCTCACTATCATGCATAGATGCATTCATACTTACTGTTTGGTTTCAAAGAGCTGATCCTGTGTGTCTGTCAATTTTTCATACCCAAATCAGTCAGTTTCTGTTTTAAATCAGTAAAGATGAAATAATATTAGTCACACATTTCCCTGTATCTGTTACCTTACTTTTCTTAGGTAGCTGTGTCTGTTGATCTCTTTTCATCATATGACTGATGCCAAATGTCCCTGGATTTTCCGGACTAGGTGTTGTCGGAGAGTGTGACGTCCATCCAGGGTGGCTGTGTGGGGAAAGAGTCTTATGATGAGGTCTTGACTGCCACTTACACAGGTTGGATACAATTCTTTCCGAACAACTTGCTTTGAGTTATTGGTTTCTGCAATAGGCAATCCGATATGAACCACTTCTTTCTGCTTTGCCGTCCTGTCGTTGCCTCTTTCAGGATGGGTGACTGGTTTGACCACTGAGCCGCAGAAGGCCGAGTCCGGCCCCGGAGACGAGGTCAGAATGAGCAAGGAGATCCAGTCCAAAGTGGAAGCACTCAGGTACTCAGTTACACAGCATGTTCTTGTTTTTTTGTCATGCTTTTGACTTGCAATAAAAAATTATTATTTTTTTGTGAGATTTCAACACAAAACCTGTTTCCCATCCCAGGGCGGAGCTGGAGCAGCTGCAGGTCAAAGTCCTGCAGGGCCGCGAGCAGTACCAGCAGACCTCTCAGTCGAGCACAGCCGTCTCTGCTGTGCCTGTCTTCAGCATCAATGACAAGTTCACCCTCTGCCAGGACGATGCCAGCTACAGCCTCACTCTGGAGGTGCAGACTGCCATTGACAATCTACTGCTGCAGGTCTGCTCATTATTATAACTATATATATAATATATATGATTATATTATAACATTATTATAAAATCTGCTGGGGTCCTCCGCCCCATGTTGGAGACATGAACAGGCAAAATGTAATGACAAATTTCCCATGCAGAGTGACGTCCCCATTGACCTGCTGGATGTGGACAAGAACTCCGCTGTTGTCAGTTTCAGTGAATGTAATTCAGAGGTGAGCCGTTCAAACCTTTCGAAAAAAAGGTTGGTGAGGCTGCTGCTGCTCCCAGAGGCCTGATACTCTCCTTCTGTCTCCAGCAGCCCAACGGGAACTTCCTCCTGGCCACATACAGATGTCAGGCCAACACTACCAGACTCGAGCTCAAGGTAACACCTGCACATCGTGCTATCCTGTTGCTCCTATTTCCTTCATGAAAAGCTTTCCTTCCTCTCATGATCGTTTCTTGCGTAATTATGAGTCTCAAGAGAGAGTGCTGAGTGGACTGTTGTGCTGATTAAATCAATCAATTTCCCCCCCGAAATAGAAATACCCCTGTTGTATTTTGAACCCCATCAGGAAGAATAACGCGTTTAATCCGTAATGACCGCTCTAGGTGAGGTCCATCGAGGGGCAGTACGGGAACCTCCAGGCCTACATTACCCCCAGACTGGAACCCAAGACATGCCAGGTCCGCCAGTACCACATCAAACCGCTGTCCCTCCACCAGCGCACACACAGCATAGACCAGGAACGGTAAAAGACTTCCACTAAATAGACTTAAGCGTTGTGCTCCCTTGTGTGAGCTTCTCCTCGCTTTGTTAACACAGCTGGCCGCTGTGAGCGTGTTATGTGTGTTTCTGCTTGTGCCGCTGGTTCCCTCTCCGCTGGTCACATATGCAGATTACAGCTGTTACCCTTCTGCTATACAATATATATATATATATATATTTATATATATGCATACATACATACATTTAATTCTGCCTTCTGTCTGTCATACAGGCCCATGAACCGGCTCAGCCTGGTGGGACAGTTCAGTTTCGCTGAGATCCACTCCTGGGTGGTCTTCTGTTTGCCGGAGGTACCTGAGAAAACACCTGCAGGAGAGAGCATCACTTTCTGCTTCCATAACACTTTTCTTGGAACGCAGCTTGAAGCCACCTATTGGTAAATACTAGCAGAGAGTAGGAAGGGTCTTCTAGGATTGCATGTATATTTGTGGGTACTTTTATAACCTTTCTGATGCTTCTGGAATTGTTTTTTCTTTTTGGTGATTTTAGCAAAGGTGAAGGCCACTTCAAGTCAGACAACATCTCTACCATCTCCATACTGAATGATGTTCTCTCCAAGGAAGCCACCAAGAGAAAAATCAATCTGAACATTTCATATGGTGAGTATTATTTATTTTTACTGTCAGTGGACGGAAACACTCAGGGAATTATATCCCACAAATGAAGTGCTGTTTATTAATCTTTCAGATATCAATGACGACTCTGTAAGCCACACTCTGAAGATGATACATCCAAAGCTGGAGTACCAGTTGGTGTTGGCTCGAAAAGTTCAGCTTATCGATGCACTTAAAGTACGTATTTGTTAAATGTGTCGTCTTAACGAGACATACATTCGTTGTTTATGTTCATGTGTTCTGTCTGCTTTGGGTTAAAGGCCTCCAGTTCTCACCCGTTCTGTTACAGCTGTTGCACAAGTATTTTCTTCCTTACCTGCTTGTACCCACCTCACTTCCTGTCTGATTGACAGGAGCTTCAAGTTCATGAAGGGAACGCTGACTTCCTCATCCCAGAGTATCGAAACATCTTGGATGAGTCCGCCAATCTCCTCGAGGAGTACAAGAAGCAGCCGGCGCATCTAGAGAGGCTTTATGGTGCAGCGTTATTTCTGTATTTTCACATATACACGAATATAAAAAATAATTTAGGAACATGTTTGTGCAGGAGAAGACCAAAGTTTATAAAAATGCTGATACAAATTCCTCCCCTCATGATCGAGGTTTGTGTGATCTTTCCAGAAATAGTCACATCTTTTAGCAAAGATAACCACTGAAATAATTATTTTTGGATTAGGAAGATCTGAGGTAGGTGTGAAGCAGTATGACAATGCATAATATGAAGATGTAATTAAAAGTTAAAATACATTAAGTATTTATCATTGAACAAACTCAAGATACCACAAGACTTCATTCATTATCTTTTTACAGACAACCTCTGTATGGTAATTCCATTAAGTGTTCCCACTGAGACACTAGGCACACTTTCACTAAATGTAGTTTCCTTCCTCCCCTCTATGTATCTTTTGATGATGAGAAGATGGGAGGGCTTGACATTGAGAAGAAGCGCGTGTTTCCTGGTAACTTGTTTTGTTTCTCTCCTGTAGGAATGATCACCGATCTCTTCATCGACAAATTCAAGTTTAAAGGCCAAAACGTGAAAACCAAAGTGTCCTCGTTGCTGGAGATACTCGATAATTATGACTTAAATTCTCTGTTAGACTTTTTCAAAGAGGCATGATGTCATGTAGATAATATATTTATTCACTTGTCTTTATTTGTGTAGTTTTTGTATTGTAAATACAAATGTGGTGTCTTGTCTTTCTTTTAAGCAGTGTTGTTATCATGTTGTCTCTTAGCTGTTTTAATATTGTGTGCAGCATTTAAATATTCATAATATATTTTGATAGCATATAAAACCAAAGTAATTAATAAACCACTACAAGGTTTCCAGGATAGTGAATCTTCCTCTTTTTATTCGTGACCAGGCTTTGGTTTGGGTATGAAGCCTCAGTGACCCCATGTATGTTTTTACATCATAAATATGATATCACTGTGAGGTTGAATGAAACATTTAACGATATTTGCAAATGTTTGTAAAATGTGTATTCAACAGGCTGATGGAAAGTGAAATAAAGAGTAGAGTAGGAAAAGCTCATTTTATACCAGGAGCTATATATGACCTTGTCCACACGACTCACTCAAGTCTGCAATCTAATCCAATAAAATGTATAAACTTTCATTTGAGTATTTCCATTGTGTGCTGTTTATTTTTGTTTGTTTCTCGTTCTATTTATCTGATATCTGTGGTTTTAGTTTAGGAAACACAAAGCTGTGTCAAAGATTAAATATGCCACATTCTGGGAAGCCACTTTTATACTAAATACACCACTACACCACGGAGTGCTTGTTACTACTACATATTAAGAAACTCATTTTATTATGATGTATCACTATAACACAACTAGTAATATATAAAGTAATTCAAATGAACTCTGCCCTTACCAGTTTAAAAAGATATTCCAATGAATGCATTGATTATAATAAAAAGAGTGGTCATCCTGGTTATGGGTGAGTCATTGTGTAGGAAGATTGTTCTTTTCATATTTTGTTGACAATATTAAAAGCTTTCAGCACGTCACACCGCAGCTGCTACCCGTAAATAACGTTAGCGATTCATACATTCAAATCATTCAAAGCGGGTTTAAATTTGCAATCACGCGAACCTTGCACCCTTTAGGCTCCCGTACTTCCGGCACGTCACTACCTGCGCGGCCTGTGATTGGTCCGTTTCAATCCTCGCGGGCTACTTGAAGTGAGAGAAAGCGACATAGCGTATGCATGTTTCCGTGTATATGGACCGAGGCTAGCGGGCTTGTCTGCAGGTTGGTACTGAACTCGGCATTAACGTGTGTGGCGACCTAAGAACACTTTGGACCTTGTGTAGAAATTGTGCCGACCAACTGTCCGCGTCGTCTTTCTGTGAGCTGTGTGTAAATTGGCGCAGAAATCCCGAGAGTGGTTGCCATCTCAACAGCTTAGCCCTTACGAACCTTTAACCTTCCCGAGAAAAAGCTAGCAGCTAATGCTAGCCTCCTCGTAACCGTTCCTACGCGATCATCCGTTTTCTTTACGTAAGTATTGTTCGTACACCGGTGAACCTCGCCCGTAACGTGAGCACCTACGGGAAGCGAACCGATCCCAGTCGGACTGCGCCACCGAGTGTGAAACATGTCCGGAGCTAACGTTAACCGAGGACAAGCTAACGCGGCCGGCGAGCTTCACAACCAGGAGAATATGCTGTCACGACTGAGGGGCTCGCTGAAGACCCGAGTGGCCGCAAGCGAGGACCAGGAGAACCTTCCGCCCAAACAGGCGGCGGCGGCCGCCACCAGAACCGTCCTCGGAGCCCTGCAGAACAACCAGCGGAGCAAAGCGCAGAACCAGCGCGGCTGCAAACAGGTCAGCTACTCTCCTAGCTCGCGCTAGCTTTCTGCGGCGATCACTGATGAAGATGGAGAGCGCGCTGCCATTGTAGTTTTTGGAGGCAACTAATTTGTAGATGCCATGTCAGTTTTAAACGTCTTGTATCGTTGGTGACTGAGTTTTAATCTGCCAATTTTTTTAAAAATCCAATCTTCTATACAATCTATTGCTTTGAATTGGCTGCGCCAGATTGTCCGCCATTTTATTCATCACAATAAGTCTTCCACGTTATATATATATATTCCGCTGATGTCACCACGGAGTTCAACTTCTTAAATTGCACAAGTGTTTTGTGCTTAAACTTTTTTTTTTTTTTGAACTGTTGTGTACGTGGGTCCCTCCCGCCTTCCCCAGTGACCAACACCAGCTTGTGTGCAATGCGATTGCTCCCTAACATCTTATTACCTTAAATTGGCTGTAGCGTAACGCATTGTATTAAAAAAAAGACAAACTATTTAAATAGTTTCTTTTTTTTAATTTTTTAATATTAATGCCTGCTCATTTTCCTCAGTTCCTTTCTCAAATGTTTTTCCCCGCTTCCAGGAGTCCTCACAGTCAGTGTCCTGCAAAAATGAGGACAAAAGCTGCCCCGAGAAGCCCTCCACCAAGCCGTCGGCTTTCCAGATCCACATGGACGAGCCCGATTGCGCCTCCATCAAGAAGCCGCACCAGGTGGTGGTGGTGGCCGCCACCGATGCGAAGTCCGACACTGAAACAGTCAACGCTGCGGCCCGACTCCGGCAGCCCTTGGCCACCATTGAGATGCCTTCAGCAATGGACCTCAGCTTTGGTGGGTTGTGAACAGACGGCAAAAAATGTCCATAATGCCGCTCGGCTACAAACTTTTTTTTACTCTGCAAAATGTTCTCTGAAAATCTTTAACCGCTGTGTCAAAGAATTAATGTGCTAATTCACATGTTCATCCCTCAGACTCTCCCATGGACATGTCCATAGTAGAGGGGGAGGAGAAACCAGTCGACGTCAACAACGTCCCAGAATACGCTGCCGAAATTCACACATACCTGAGGGACATGGAGGTGAGAAAGGAAGTAACACGTCATACGACTATGTACTAGTCGCGTTTTTTTTTCTTTTTAAGGCATTTGAAATATCTGAAGTGTGTAAACTCTCAGCAAGATTTCTTAAACGACTCCCTGAATCTTCAGATAAAAACCAGACCCAAAGCCGGCTACATGAAGAAGCAGCCGGACATCACCAACAGCATGAGGGCCATCCTGGTGGACTGGCTGGTCGAGGTTGGAGAAGAGTACAAGCTCCAGAACGAGACCCTTTATCTGGCTGTGAACTACATCGACCGCTTCCTCTCCTCCATGTCTGTCCTGAGGGGGAAACTTCAGCTGGTCGGGACCGCCGCCATGCTGCTGGCTTCGTATGTCGCCGTTACATTCGGGCCGTTTATGCACAACACTTGGAATGCTATGAACATGTTAATAAAAATCTCTTTTCAATATATTCAGGAAATTTGAAGAGATCTATCCCCCGGAGGTGGCAGAGTTTGTTTACATCACAGACGACACCTACACCAAGAAGCAAGTGTTAAGAATGGAGCACCTGGTGCTTAAAGTGCTCTCCTTTGACCTGGCGGCGCCAACCATCACGCAGTTTCTCACCCATTACTTTCTTAACCACTCGGTTAACAAACGGGTGGAGAGCCTGGCAATGGTGAGAAAGTTGTACAATGTTCAAAATGGTCCGTTCCACATATCCGGCATGGCCTCGCAAAATATCAACTTCTTTTTCAGTACCTGGGGGAGCTCAGTCTGGTCGATTCCGATCCCTTCTTGAAGTACCTCCCATCACAGGCCGCTGCCGCAGCCTACACGCTGGCAAACCACACCGTGACTGGTGGCTCATGGGTAAGCTCGAGGCGGAATAGTCTATTGTGAAGAGTCCCGCTTATTCAACGACTGTCTCGAGCCTCAAGCAGGCAGCCCCGTGTCTCTGCACTGGTAACGGCGGGCTTGTGCAAACCAGCGAGATGACTCTGGCTTTGTCCTCCCCAGCCGCAGTCCTTGACAGAGATGACCGGCTACCTGCTTGAAGATCTGATGCCATGTGTTGAGGATCTGCACCAGATATTCCTCAATGCTGCGACTCATGCTCAGCAATCTGTTCGGGAGAAGTACAAGGGCCCCAAGTAAGTCTGCTGCTCGTCTTTGGTTTTTGTCTTCACTTTTTTTCCTTCACTGTCTGGCAAATGTTCTAATGGCGCCTTTTCTCACATCAGATACTCTGAGGTTTCCCTCATCGACGCTCCGACTAAATTGCTGCTGAAGTAATCCCCCCCGCCCCCCCTGTCCATATAGTTTTGTACCAATGTCAGTAATATTTTTTTATTTTTTAATGATGCTTTTCGCAATTTAAATGGCACGGCCTGCTCTTCTTGGAGTAGTCGATGTTTAGAGTTTTTAAGGTATTTTTATATACTCAATCCTGACATGCAGATGCTACAGTCGTGTTGGGTAATCAAGTTTTACTTTTAATCTCAGACAAAATGTGGAGTCCTTTGCTCTACAGTGTCAAACTCCAATGGACCCGTGATGTACTAAAGCCCATATCACCCAAGTTTGTTCCACTTTTTTAAAGGTTGAGTTGATGGCGTTTATTGTCACATTAAGTACATTTTAGTCTGTAATGGAGTCCACTGTCTACTTACATTGGAGTCTTGGAAGGTAACTGCTTTTTCACTAAGTCACCATCTGCACTGTAAAATATGGCTCTTGTAAATAAAATTCATTTAACGTAACACTCGCTGTCTACATATTGTCGTGTTGAACTCATGGGGGCAGCAGAGGACCAGCTTTGGTCCTTCAGGGGCTCCAGAAGCTCTAGTTATTTCTTTAAATGGGGATTATGTATTTGGGTCAAATTGTTTAGCTGGATTAAGCATAGTTTGAATAAGGTGCAAATGTCAAGTTTTAGCTAATGAGTAATTAAATTATATTTTTCCAGTGAATAAGGATAACTAATGCTTTATTACAGAATGGAGGAAATATAAAACCCAAAATCTTTGATTTAATAAAATTTCCTTTTGGATTCACAATTGTCAATATTTGAGCACTCCAGGATCTAGAAACCAGCATGGCAAAAGGTGGTCCCTGTTTTCAGCACATTAGCAATTGGTAAATAGGCTTTATTCTGTGATCACACTGAACGTGAGCTACTGGCCGGTGGCGGAGACTCTCCTCCTCCTCGCTCCCTCTCGTTATAAATTGGGAGGCTGTCTTTGAGCGAGGAGCCCGAGGGGGAAGCACGGATGCAGAGAGCTCTCCATTCCATCTCCGACTGGACTGACCATGCACACGCGCTCCACAGGTTCCCGCCGACGCACCACATCAATGCCCAACTGGAGGATTAAACCATGAGAACAAATGGGAGTTCTGTGACTGGCCAACCAGCTGCATACCGCTTTGCCTTCCACATCACAGCATCCGTGTGAGATCCAAGCGTGGCAAAGGAGCTAATCTTTATTTTTTATTTTTGGGAGGGTGTGTCGCTGCCTTACCCTGATGCCTGCCCCCAGGAAATTTCTTGTAGCGTCCACCTCGCTGCCCCTGGCGCTGGACTGGGGCTGGAACCTGGGCTTGTACGTGGCGATTCTCCTCGGACTCCTGGTGCTGATGCTGCTGCTCCTCTGGATGCTGCTCAAGCAGCTGAGTAACTCTGTGGGTAAATCCACGCTGCAGCCCGGCCGCTCCGCCAGGCAGCCGCGCTTTGAACAGAGGTTGCAGCACGTTTCGTGAAAACATGGACAGTTGTGATTTAAAAAAAAAAACCGACAGGACAAGCTTCTTGGAGTGATTCATGTAAGAAAACAATGGGAGTCTATACTCTTTCAAAATAAATAAACCTGTTCGTATTTATAGAAACCCCTGTTCTTTCAACAGCTTCATTTTCACCATTTCTCTAATCTGAACAAAAGCAGAGGTCTTTTCAGTATTTTCCTGCATAAATAAAACCACTTTCTATTTTCATCCCCCGGTTGCATTTACACAGCCGAGGTCAAACGTTTAAATTGCCAAGAAAAAACAAGCCAACATCTAATCTGCATCTTGATTCAAGCTGATTAAAGCAAAGCTTTCAGGAGGGCAATTTGCTCTCCTCTCATCTCACGGGTGAATTGACAGCAATGTGAAATATGAAAGGATCAGTGTGCCACGTGGTTTTCTCAATTTCCCCTTCTGTCCACGTTGGGTTACGAAGTAAATGAGTCCCTTGAGGGAGAAGAATAAAATTACGGTCTTGAGCTGATGCTATTTCTCAGGTATTTACAATTTGTCCTCCACAGACATGGGCATCTTTGTGACTTGTTGAATTTTAAGTCTGATAATTCCTTTTTTCCTTTCACCATCACTCCAGGGGACCAGGATGTCTTCGATTGAGTAGTCTGAGCGGCATGTTCATTACACATTAACAGCTGATTTCTTCAAAGAGCAGCACAACAACACAAACATGGTCCAGCCTGATTGCTTTGAACTGGAAATGTGTGGAGCTAACAACATCCAACTAGCAGCACATTTTAAATTCATTAATCAGGAATCAGGAAACATTTATTTGCCAAAATATGCCAAGACAACAGTGCACAAGTAATAAAATAGAGAAGAATGAAATGCTAATGCAATGGGTTAGTAGAATAAGGCTAAGGCTATGGGTTAGTATAAAACGGGAATAAAGTTAAAAATGTTAAATATTAAAAAGTTAAAAAGAAAAATATTAAGCATAAAGTGCACTAACGAACAAGTGTACATACTTATCAGAAGTAACAGACAAGTGACATACTTATCTCTGTTTAGTTTTAAAATGATAATTTGCAATAACTTTGTTTATGACCTCTGTGCTGAGCTTGACCCTGTGTGGCGTCTGCATCATCCGTGAAGACGCACACGCACATGCAGGTCCCAAAGGAAGCCCGTACTGGGTTTAGACAGAGGAACTGAAAAGGTCAGATTTGGTTGTGAATTTGCAACCTCAATACAAAACAAAGAATTTTTGCACAATTCATTTTGCCTTTGTTATTTGTTGCTTTCAAAGCTCTAGTTAGTGCTAATGCTAAAAATCTAATTAGTTTGGATGTATGGTTCAGAATTTCACAATACACAATTGTGTAACTATGCAGAACTATTTTAGGAATAGCTTGAAAGTTTAGAATATTATTTGGCTTTCTGTCGGAGCTCGACGAGATACGGATTTTCTTGTATGTCTCAGCGAAAAAAATGATCACACATATTTTCTGTCAAAATGGGCTAATCCATCTCCAAACATTGTACTCTTGAGTATTTTTTCTGTGCTGGCTTGTAGTCCAAAATAGCAAACAAGCTACATCAAATCAGCCAACCAACTCAGATAGATGCTGTTGGTGCCGCCAATACAGCTGAATGATCCCGTTATCTCTGTGTTGAAGTAGTTCTGTCTGCAGGAGATGCTGATCCTGTATTGGAAATAGCTGCAGGGGGAAATAGAAGACAGACTAAATCCACTCTGACTCCCGCTCTGAAGCTAGAACTGTCTCGGGTATTAGTGTGTGCCTTTCGAGGACGCCCTCAAAGGGTCCGTCACACCAGGTGACGCTACCTGCATTTGATAACATCCGCCCTCAGCACAGATGGAGAAGACTAACCGAGCCCGTCAGCGGTGGCTTGGGAGGACCATTGATGGATGACAGAGTTTATTGTCTGTCAGTCACCACCAAGAAATATCCAGCCGTCCTCGGCTCTGTATACGGCGGCTGTCCCATGGCGCTCCGGCAGAAACTCGGTGACTACTCGAGGATGATGGCAGGCTGGAAAAGGAAAAAAAGAGAAGTTTGCAGCATCCCTGACCAGGCTGTTAAAAGATGGAAGCACTTGGCAGCATCCACATGGTGGAATACATTTTATTTGGAGGGTAAAACGCAGTCTTTGTCAAAACAAGCCCAGCTTCCGGCTGAGGTGTTGTGGAGTCCATCAGGATTGGTTATAATGGTTTTCATACGGTGTGACAAAGTCTCCTTGAAGATATAAAACGGTAATTTAATGTGCTTAAATCTCATGTGACTTACCGCTGCAAAGAGTCACTGCTTACAAGGCATCAGCAAACATGCCATTCTCCAAAATACTGTGGAAGCTTTTCGTTGCTGCTCGTTTACTATGCCAACCAGCTCAGGTCCAAGTTTAATTCCCGTCAGCTGGAGCGTGAACAATGTCTAACATTCAAACTTAACAACGTAAACATTTAAAGCGACCTCATTGCTCTGCTGATCCCTCCGCTCCTTCATATCTGTCATCTTGAAGACGCGTTTCACCACGATTTCAAAACGGATGGATCCTCTTCATGGAGCCGGCCACCGCGGCTCTAAATGATAAGTCCATTCCGGTTTTACATTTCCTCCAAAATGTTCAGTTGGATGCAATCTGCGACCCCGCCACTAGATGTCGCCACATCCTCCGCACTGCACCTGCAGGATGACTGTTAACGTCTGCGGAATTAATTGATTCATTAGCTCGACTTGGATGATGATGTCTTTAAAATAGCCTTCGTCGTTACACAGTTGTGAACAGTCCAAACCTGTCCTGGTTTGCTTCTTGCCGCGTGGAAACAAGGACATTTATTATACCATTAATGATACATGGGCTCCTCGGGTGGCAGCGTACAGTGAATTGACGTCAGCCGACAGCAGGTAAACACAGACACAAGCCGCTGCCTAGCAACGCAGCTCCGACGAGACCGTCTACCCCTCCGGGCTCCCTCCGACTTCCACTAAAAACATTTCACCCTCGGCACTTCTGTTGGAAGATCACGCAGGTGCAGGTGAGGAAGCGTGTGCGGTCAGCTGCGACGCTGCACAGGAGAAGAGATCAGAAAGTAAGGAGCCTCTATCTGAGCAGAAGGTAAGAACATCAAGGGCCTCTTGTTCCTCTCAACTTTTAAGGAATAACACACAAACAAGCTTATGAAGACTGAGGAGCTTCACTTAAAAGTAACGATGCCACACTGCATGATAAAGTCCTAATCTCAAAAGTATTATCAACAAATATGAAACTTACTGTCAGTGTGATAGAATGTTTCTGGACCGATATTACTGTCTATTTTACTATTGTACATGTTTAAGATTCAGCTAATGTGAACTTCCTAATTTACTCTTGGCTGGTTTCATCAAAAGCAATGCTTTATATTTTATATCGTCTAATGTGCAACTGTTCCAGGAGTACTTCTCTAAAATGTACACTTTCCATGAGCTTAGAAAATCTGCGTTTCCAAATTTGAGAATACCGCCAAAAGGTTTTTTGAAGTGTATTCAACTTAATGTAGTTGAATTTTCTCAGCCAATGAAGGAAGATCTTAAGTTTAATACGAGCACCAAAATGCAAATTTAGAGCTTTATAAAATGAAATGTGGATGTGAAAAAAATTATTGAAGCCGTACACACTTCCAGTAAAAAGTACAATATTTACACCTTGAGATTGCAAGTATAAAGTTCCAACCCTTGAATTTGTAGTCACTCTTTAATACACTGCCTATTTTAATCAGGAATCTGTTCCACTTTCTTTCAGTATACAGCTGCCTGTTGCCTGCAATCAGCAATCAGTTGCCTGCAATCAGCATAAAAGGATGGTAAGTTCTCATTGCTAGTATGATAAACTAAACGATATGAAAATGATCATACAACTTTGTTTTGAAAAAAGTAAAGTAATTGAATATTGAGTTACTGTGTGCATGAACAGTCTATGATGTCCTAAAATCCATTTTGCACCCATCCCTCAGGAGAGATCCGAAGCGAAATCTGAACAAAGACTTTTATGTAAAGCACATATAAAAAGTAGGTACTAGCAGAATACTTCTTAATAGGCAAGAGTCCCATGGCTGCCGTCGTAGCCTGCATAGCTGTCGTCGCGAACAGTGCTGTTACCGTCGTCCCCCAAGGGTGGCGTTGTAGCCTGCATTGCTGTCGTCGCCAACAGTGCTGTTGCCGTCGTCCCCAAGGGTGGCGTTGTAGCCTGCATTGCTGTCGTCGCCAACAGTGCTGTTGCCGTCGTCCCCAAGGGTGCCGTTGTAGCCTGCATTGCTGTCGTCGCCAACAGTGCTGTTGCCGTCGTCCCCAAGGGTGGCGTTGTAGCCTGCATTGCTGTCGTCGCCAACAGTGCTGTTGCCGTCGTCCCCAAGGGTGCCGTTGTAGCCTGCATTGCTGTCGTCGCCAACAGTGCTGTTGCCGTCATCCCCAAGGGTGCCGTTGTAGCCTGCATTGCTGTCGTCGCCAACAGTGCTGTTGCCGTCGTCCCCAAGGCTGCCGTTGTAGCCTGCATTGCTGTCGTCGCCAACAGTGCTGTTGCCGTCGTCCCCAAGGGTGGCGTTGTAGCCTGCATTGCTGTCGTCGCCAACAGTGCTGTTGCAGTCGTCCCCAAGGGTGGCGTTGTAGCCTGCATTGCTGTCGTCGCCAACAGTGCTGTTGCCGTCGTCCCCAAGGCTGCCGATGTAGCCTGCATTGCTGTCGTCGCTCACAGTGCTGTTTGTCGTCGTCCTCAAGGATGGCGATAGTAGCCTGCATTGCTGTCGTCGTCACCGGTGCTGTTGCCCGTCGTCTCCAAAGGAGGGCGTTGTAGCCCTGCATAGATTGTCGTCCTCCACAGAGCTGTTGCCGTCGTCCCAAAGGCTGCCGTTGTAGCCTGCA